GGCAGAGAGTCCGTTTGCGCAAACGCTGAATAAATTCCTCTTGCTTACTGCATCTCCCGGCCTGGAGTTTTCTGGGGTGCCCTCCTGTTGACGAAAGTATCCCAGGAGTCTGGGGTCTTTCACCCCAAAGGATCTTTTGATGTCCTTCATCACTACTTCACCAAGTGCTATGTCTTCCAGTTGTGTTGTGTAAATACCTTGGAAAATACCTTTCAGACTTCCCTATCTTTTCACACCTCATACGTAATCTATGACTAGTTTACAGAAATTAGTTCCTAGAATTTTATTGGTGCCAGTCTTTTCTTTCTCATTGTAATTTTTCCCATATGCAGACTTTGGAGTCATTCTGTGCAAACAGATGTGGAAAAGAGTGAAAAAGGGTACAAAGGAAAAGAAAGTAGTAGAGGAGGGATTTAAGGGAGTGGAGATGATGGGAAGCAACAGGAGTGGAATGGAAAGAAGGGAAAGAAGGAGGAAGAAATGGAGTTGAGGGGAGGTGGAGGAAAAGGAAGGGAGGGTAAAGGATAAGAAGTGAAGGGAATGGTAGGAAATGGCAAGGGAAAGGAGGGGAGGGGAAAGCCTGGTGGGGAATGTAATGCAAGGGAAGTGAGGGGAATGGAAGGAAAGCCGAGGAGGGAAAGAAGGGCAGGAAAAGGAGCGGAAGTTAATGGAATGTTGAATAGTGAGAGTGAAAGGGAAGAAGAAAGAAAGAAGTTAAAAAGGAAAAGAAAGAAAAAGAGAAAGGTAGAAAAATAAAGAAAGTGATAAAGAAAGAAGGAAAGTAGGAAAGCAAGAAAGAAAAAAACAAAGAAAGAGAAAGAAAGAGATCTTGTCCCTGTAATTTGCACTGGGGAAACATATACAATAAGTCTGATTCAGCTGTGAAGTTGACAGAGGGTAGAAAGAGCATGAATCTCAGAAAAAGCTGGACACCTACCTAAAAATAAACTAATGCAATGTCCAGGGGGAAATAAACTGAAGCCAAAATATCTTGGATATAGCTGAAGTGGTCTTAGTAGCAACTAGTCCCTTTGTTGTAAGTCCAGTAAGTGAAATGATATGGAACAAATTATGTCAAACATTTGCTCAGAATCTTCAATCGCCTCCTCATTCATGGAGAGTCCATTCTAGTCTGTTTTCTCATGCCACCTGGGCAGTGGACCCGACAGTTTCAATGATCATAATAGTTACGCTTTTTAATGCATTTACATTCAATAGTAACTAGCCAAATGCTGTACTTACTTTGGTGGTTTGGGTTTTGAATTTAGGGCTGCACACTTTCTGGGCAGATAATTTATCACTTTAGCCAGTCCTTGGAGCTTTAGTTATTTTTTTTTATTTAGAATCTCGCATTTTTGCCCAGATTTCAGCCCTTTTCTCTATGATCTTCTGTGTACATAGGACCACAGATGTTGCTGCAACATGCCCATTGAGATGAGTGAGGTCTCACTAACTTCTTACATGCACTGGATTCCAACTGCAATGCCAGTCTTGACCTTCTAAGTACTTGGGTTTTCGGTTATGAGCCACTGCACCTGGCCAAACCTTTTACTTGAGTTACCTCACTTAATCCCCCATAGCCATAGCAGGAAGGATCTACTATCATTCAGTTTCGCAGATGGAGAGGCCGAAGTTCAGTCAGCCTAAGTAAGATACTTTCCCACAGTAAGTGGACAGAAGTAGTTAAGTGGTGGGCCAAGAGTTCTGGGTCTGTTCAAGTTCCAATCTAAACTTGAAATTGATGTGGTACTGTATCCCAAGACATTCTAAATGAGGGCACCAGAGGTGAGGTCTAACAAAGGCTTGAAAGCATGACAGAAACACAGGGAAAAGGGGTACTTCTAACAGAGAGATCCATATAGGAAAAAGCACATTGACCAGAAAAGCATTGATGTGAAGAAGAACTACTATCAATGTATGATTAGCAGCTGAATGGGGAAGGTAGAAAGGAATCGGGGTCTGATCATGAACTCTCTTCTTGCCACTTGATGGGAAAAAGTAGGTAGATTCTTTATTTCAACTTAATCACTTCGTTCATATCCTGTTCATCAAAAGGCTATTGCAGCAAAGTGGAATCTGTTGTTAATTTTATGGTGCAGAATTACAAAATATGCTTCAGGTTTTAGAATTGAAACCTTCAACTATGAATGGGCTTTAAGATCTCAACTCATTCTTTGCAAGAGAAAATCAGAATGACTGTATGTAAATATCTTCACTGAGGTCATAAATAGTTTAACTAAGCCAAGTCAGGGATATTTGTGCTTTTGACATCAATTTTGGAGTTGAAGTGATTATTAAAATTAGAATGGCAGGATTGTTCTGGGGTACATATGTAGAAATTGATGATATGGAAGAGGGAGAGGTACAATTGGTAATTTTAGGGAATGAGAATGTCACCCTTCCTCAAAACCATGAGTTTCCCACTGGAAATGTTCATGGTTGCTCTTCTTGGTGAAAGGTATATGAGTGGATGTCTTTTTTTGGGGGGGGGTCTGGTTGTGGGGCCTGAACTCTGGGCCTGGGTGCTGTCCCTCAGCTCTTCAGCTCAAGGCTAGTGCTCTACCACTTGAGCCACAGCACCAC